CAGCACAGGCGCTCCCCAGGAATGTGCACTCTCCCAGCTGCTGTTCTCCCTATACACTAGTGACTACGCCTCAGGGGACCCTGTGGTCAAACTCCTGAAGTTCACAGATGACACAATGGTCATTGGCCTCGGATGAGGCCAATGACCATTGTGACGAGGTGGTGTACAGACAGGAAGTTAAACAGCTGGCCCTGTGGTACAGACGCAACAATGTTCAGCTGAACATGTTCAAAACTGTGGAGAGGACAGTGGACTTTAGGAAGAGTCCTACCACTCTATCCCCCGCCTCACCATAGTCAGCTGCACTGTATCAACGGTGCAGTTCCTAGGCTCCACACCCCGGACCCAAGCTGTTTGAACCCTTTGCCTCTGGATTGCACTACAGGTCACTGTATGCCAAAACAACAAGACACAAGGACAGTTTCTTTCCCAACGGGATCAGTCTAATGAACAGATGAATATGTCTCTAACCATGACTGTCTAAGCCATCACCCTGATGAATAGTTAACGAAGACTACAGAAAAATTGACTGTAGTGCAATAAACTGTGAATAAAGCCCGCAATAGGCACCAGCCTGATAGCTTGATGGTACCTATATATAAAATATAATTTAATGCTTTTGTATATAATATGTTTTTTACCTGTTGTTGTCTATTGTCTGCGGCCAAAACATGCTTACAGATTCCATGCCTGAAACAAATTCCTTATATGCTCAATAATATCAAAAATGTTTGAGTCAAAATAAGATCATTGGAATTATTCAAAAACTTAATATAGTCCCCGTCACATACCTCAGTCCATTACTTTTTGTTTTGCGCATCAGTACATGAATTGTTGCGTGTGCTCTGCAGTGCACCAGCTACAACATGCATACAGTACATGCACAGTGTGGTGTACAAGCCCTGACCGCTTTGCCTCAGCTTGTATTTTGTTTTGACATTCTGGATTAAAAAAACAAATCAATTATTTTCCTATTATTATCAGTGTAAATTAATCCACTGCCAAATATAGGAGCTTGTTAAAACTCAAGCGTGTGCTTTTACTGGGGCGCTTACCCCATTAAAAGAGATCTAATGTCACCCCTGGGATACCAGGATTGGAAAGCTTGACTGAACTGCAGGACAGCAAGTCACAATTTAGCTGCTGGATGACTGAAACAGAGCAGCTTAAATAGGCAGAGTCAACCAACAACAGGTGAGTGCAATAAGCCTGGTGCAGCCAGTCAGCTCCAGTTAGCCACCTCGGACTGGGACACGAGAGGGTGTTCCTCTTTGTAGGCTTAGACTTTTTAATGTTTATAAACATACTTGTGACTATTGCAATGCATTTAGAATCCACTGAAGGATATGCACTACCTGTCTTAAATTATGACTCTCCAGAGTCACTGGCTATAATCCACTTATAATATGCTGACCGGGTGGATGGTCTGTAGTACGAAGGTCATATCTTGTAGAACCTTTAAGCATAGATCTTTTATTGTTTTATTACTTTTAATTATCTGCAAATATCCTACCAAACCCCGGATCTTATCAAGTGCATCGACATACCTGCTGAATCTAAAGAAGGACCTGTCCTTGGACTTATTCATTTAAATGTCCATTGCTTGATAGCAAAAATGGACTTTGCACCTGGGCAGTCTACAGGTGCTGATGTTATTGCCTTATCTGAAACATGGCTTACAAAGCCTGTTTAGCTTTGTTAGGCAATCTAAACCGAGGCTGGTCAACAACAAATTTAGATGATTTTAGGAATTTATGTGCTTTGCTAAATCTGACCTAAATTGTTGATAGTCCCACTTTACTTTTCCTGACAAGTGTTCATGAATCAACCTAATTTTAACTAGTGACAAACATAAATACCCAGTAATCAGTGCACTTGCAAGTTATTTTAATGATGAATGACTTTTTAAACTTATGCTGTAGTATAACCAGAGATACTTGATGTGTGAAGTGATTGTGGTGACTCTACACTGTAAGAGTGAAGTTAATGAATATTTTTCCCAGTAAAAATTCCTCAAAATGATGCAAAAATGAAGTGTAATGGTATAACCAGCAGGAGGTCCCTGATGGCTGAACTACACTATAAGTGTTATTTAGATTATTTAATACCAGTGGTACTGGTCCGGTGAGTGTGTACATGTGGGTAGAGCTCAGAGGATGGCTTGTTTTGATGAAAGCTGGGTTCTAGCTTGTTTTCTACCCTACGGTTGGAAAGAGGCACCATTTGTGTTTTAATGTTTCGCTGACTTATTGATCCAAGAACTTAGAGTCTGTGAATATCATTGCAGCTTTACTGTAACGTTAGTCCAGCTTCTATGACTAACACAACTTAATTCAGTACATTAATATCTTTGTTAGCTAGGTTAGCAAATTCTTTAGCTGTAAAATATGCAACATTAGTTTTATCTTCTCTCTGTTTCCTGTTGTTATTAAGACAGTAATCCTCTCTGGGTGTAGCTACCATCCTGACAGTATGGAGGACTATCCAATCAGCTGTCTGATTAGCTTGATGATCAATCACACAAACCTTTGCACTGTTTGTTGATTAGCAGGCCATTCCTGTTGCCAACTTGTATTTGTGTTTGAGATCAAGCCAGCACTTTTTTTTTTTTAGGGTTAGGTGTTAGGTCTTGGTCTGGAGAGCAAGATTGATCTGGAGCACTACAACACTAGTACCCATTCTTGATTATGGTGGCTTGTTATACATGACTGCCCCAGTATAACGTTTTAAGAGTGCCCTGTTTTCCAATGTGGGCTGGCCATCTCTGTCTGTCACAGGCACATTTTTATTTCTAAAGCTATTTTGTACAAACTGCCTACATACCTCTGCAAATTGATCTCTATCTAATTTTTGATCACATGATATAATTATATAATAATAATATATCAGCTCCTGGATTTCAGACAAAGATTAATAAAACAAATCATTTGTTTTCTGCCCTAACCACTTGGAATACTTAAAAAACAAATCAAATTAATAAACTTGGTATCATTGACAAAGTTTAAGAGGATTGTATAAACACTTGTGTACAATACTTTTCCTTCTTGTTCCTAGACAATATTTTAACAGTTTTAGTAAATATTGGTGATATGTATTGTTGAATAGGTCTAGTATTTTATTTCTGTGTTATTTTGTCTGTAACTTTGTAATTTTGCCATCTTGCCATGGCTCCTTTAGATGAGATTTTAAATCTCAACAGTAATTACCCTGGCAAAATAAAGGTTAAATAAATAAATATATGTTTAATTACACTGTCATCTCAGCGAAGCTGTCAACATTTCAAGGTTAAATAAATTTATATATAAATGTAAACCATGTAAATAAAATGTAAAAATGGAAATGTACATTAAAAATGGCCACATTCCTGACATGCCTGTACTTGTTGTATTAATAAATGCAAGATCATTCTAAAGCTATTGCTTATAAAATTTTGCAAGAAATAATATTAATAAAGTGGTAAACCCATTCAAAATGTATCACTAAAATTTTACTGTAGAATATTAATTGACTAAAATGTTGTTTTTTTCCAATTAGAATAAATAACATTTTTGTCAGAAGAATTAAAGCACATTTATTTATAGAACACTTTTTTTTACCAAATATGTGTCATACAAGGTCTAACAGATTCAACACAAAGACATGAATACCTTAATTAGCATCCCGTCTATTACACAGTCCTAATTCATAAGAATGCAAGACTACAAACATAAAAAAGAAAGATTGTCTGGAAAGATTAGTCTTTCAAAATGTCTCCTTACATGTATCTTTGCTTCACCATTTAAAAAGGTATAGCTTACATCTATTACTAATATCTATACAAGCTGTTACACATATAAAATGAAGGGCAAATCAGCATCCTTTACCATATCAAGTCTATCAATTTAAAACTGGTCTTCTGTGATTTCCATAATGATTTGTTTTGGATATGTGGGGAATGTTTCCATCCATTACAGTTTTCTGGAGAAAATCTGATCTTGGGACAGAAATGGCAAATTAAGAGGTTTACATTCAACACCTTTATGGATACAAATACTCACAAATCAGCAATGCTTCATTTTATGAGTCTGTGTAATCTGCTGTATAATTTCCTACAAAGCTTCCTGGAAAGAACTATGCAAATCTGAACTAATTAGTGGAAATAATTAGAGGTAATATAGACCGAAAGTCCTGCTGACATTTTATATCTATAACTTTGATCAGACACAACAAACCTTTAATGGGATTGAAGGCTTTGAGTTATTGATCTTTAAAGAGCCCATGGCATGCTTTTCCTTGTTTTCTGACTTATCTACAATGTTACAACAGTGAATTATCATCTTACACATGACCTAAAGCTAAAAAATAAGGTGTATATACTGTATGTTCTAGTATTTCTGTGCATAAGCAACTCTGTGTATATAAGTCTTGCAAACTCTCGCTCACAAGACTTTCTTTCTATCAAAATAAAAGTCTCAGGTGATAGTTCAAGGATTTCCTTGAATGGGCATAATCCCCAGGCAGTTGTGCGTTCATGTGAGACATCCACTGGTGTCATTGTAAAAGCGGAATTTTGTCCACTGTGCCCGGTTTTGTGGATATATTTGCCCTCCTCCTGCTGCATTGTGACCAGTGGATGTGGAGAAAAATACAGGGCCTGAGGTTACTGCATGTCCAGAAATGTTCCTGTACAGGGACTCGCTGTTTAACCTGACTGGGTCTAACCTACAAGAAGCTGGCCTGTGAAGCCCCCACCCCAAGAGGTGAATGATGAGCTCAACACTGGATTCCCCCAGAGCACAGTACCTGTTTGTTTTGACCACCAGTTGGATTTACCGACCTTGGAGCTACTTGAAAGGGAGTGATGTTTCCACTACTCAGTGGGACTTAGTAAATTTAAAAAAAAACACATTGTATGTCAGTTAATGCCTTGTTTCTGTAAGGTTAGAGAGAATTGTTGTAAGGCTGGAGAAGTTACTATGTCTGCATTATGCCAGTTAAAATATGGGGTTTCTCACTTACCTGCTTTGTTTAGAGTGTTACACATCTCTTTTGTTTACCTATCTATGGAGGAGAAATTCAAATGAATTAATGCTGTCGTGGTTCTTTGTACTGTCCACATTTGACACAACACTGGCAACAGGAGGTGTGCATCTTCATGAACTATCCTCTTGTTTTTAGGAAGAGGATCTCTGGGTGTTATCGTTCTGAAATAATTATAGACTGTTTGGAGTTATGACGAGTGCAAAGATAATCTAGAGGTACCTAAGATCAAACATTAAATGCCTGGAAATGAGCAAAATGAGCATGCCATGGCCACTTTAAGAATGCTCTAACCACTACAAGGAGTGTTTCATGCCTGTTTTCTTTTCTTTTCTGTTTCTTTTGGATGCATTAACCTCTAAATTAGTTAATCTTCTAACTCCTTCTAGAAGATCATCTCCAGTTACTATCAAATGCCATCAACACTGAACAGTTTAATGTTTTAGTCCCATTGTGCCAGCAATACACTTAACAAACCCATACAACAGGTCCAGAGGGTTGTGAGCTGGGACAGACCAGCAGAGCTGTTCAGGAGGTACTCTACCCGAGACCAAGACCCATTATTGGGCAAAGGTTGCACTCCCAAAGTCCAGCACATCAGGTTATAGATGTCAACTGATCGAATTGGAGCTGTCCGAAGATTACGCTTGAAGTCTGAAAGGAATTAAACATAATTAAGTCTACAACTTCACCACAAACTAAAGATTATTAGGATAGAACAACAATATGTAATTTCTCCTGCACAGTTAGCTGGAATGGTATAGCCTGCTTTAGACACACAGTGGACAGCATTTAATTGTATGAAAAAAGACCAGATTTTACAGATAAAATGTGATTTATTTATTACCAGGTCCTGTTGCCAAAAAAAACCCTCTCATGTCGATGAACTCGTTGTCATAGCCATGCCAGCCGTTTTGCCAAGCTAAGGGCTCCCCAGAGTCATTTTTCCAGTATGGGAGGTTCGCCTTGTTCTGGAGAGGATCACACACACACACACACAAACACACAGAGCGGATTTCACAAAAGATAGTATAAAGTATGTTGTAAGAATTTGGACATATATTTATTTTTAGATGGCTGCAACAATACCAATCTACATGTAATATTCTATTCCAGAATAGCTACTGAATGGGTTTTAAAACCATTTGCAAAGTTAAAATCAAACACTGTTTACATCTGTTTACTAGCTTCCAGTTTTCTTTTTCCTTTATCTTTGCTGGGAAACATATACTGTTATTTTTGTGGCATCTGAACAAAAGTAGTTTGTTAATAGGCATCATGTCATACAATCAATAGTTCCAAAATGGATACTATATTGACAGAACATAATGCAGCTACCTCAAATACAACTGTTTTCTGCCATGAAAGGAAACAGACAAATGACTGAATGAAACAGCTGAAATAAGTTTGGAGATGAAACAATGTGGTAATACAAGGGAAATATTATCTGTTACCTGAATGATAAACCAGCCTGGCTCAGCCACCAGAGTGAGGGGGGAAACAAACTTTCCTTCTTTATAATAGAAACGATTAGGGATCTTCTGTCTCGTGTAGACACGCATGTTAGGGACCCGAGATAATGCAGCATACACCTGAGATAACACACAAACACACACATATCAAAAACGTTAATGGAATCTTTTTGAAACCTTAGTATTTGAGACTCGACTTACCCGGGTGGCACACCAACAGTAAATGCAAATAACCTTGGTCTTGTCAAGAGAACCATCTGCAAGGGCTTTGAAGCTGAACTTTCTTTATCCATTTCTGCTCAAGGTTTGCTTCTGCTTGCCATCCACAACATTACTGCTGCATTGCTTTCTGATTTACCAAACTATACCCTGACAGACCTCACAATAGGATTAGCAGATTTAATCCTCTGTTTATATGCTGGTAGCAAAAACACAGAGATTATCAGACAAGCCCAGATGTGGATCAGGTTGTGCCTCATAGGCCTTAGCAAGGTTAGTGTAGACTTGATCCATTGTTGCTTCCCCTTGTAGCAAATGTTATAATTAGATTAAAGTAATAAAAATCTGATTTAAGATTAACATGGTTAAAATCTCTCGCTGCAATAAAAGCACGTTTCTGGCTGCACTGCTAGGCCCTTGTTTATGTTATCATGTAGTTATGCTAACGCTACCAACGCTATTTTAGTGTTGGGTGGGATATACACAGCATACACCTCCTTGATGGCACTGTTTGGCAGCTAGGTTCTGACGAAACATATGTAACATCCAACAGTAAATCATCTTGACATCTTCCATGGGGGAAGGGAATGACATCATACAGTAGGAGGCTGAAAGTAGGTGACCTCATCAAAAAATGACATCACGATGTCCGGTTCCTCTGAAGTGGTGGGTGCATTACTGAAGACAGGAGGATTATCCTAAGTATTAAATCCTTGACTTAATTTTCTAGAGTTTGTCACAGATAATCCATTATTTTAGCTATCTGCAGCCTCCTCACTGTATTGCCTGTTAGTCTCATCAATGCCACTTTTAACATATGCACAAATTTTTCTTTCACAGTTGCACTGTAGCCTGAATTCACTGGACTTTGTCTGTTTTCACAGTTGCACTGTAGCCTGAATTCCTTACGGTTTCCACCTCCAATCCTTCCTTTCATCGCTGACCTAACTTTATCGGTACAGTCATCCCATTTGCTAACTTCAGTTTTCCTTTTGCCATACACTATCTAGACTGTGAGGGTGAGACTGCATTGATAAGCTGTTCATTTATTACTAAATTGCTCCAGACAGCTCCATCCATTTCTTCATATAGCTTCTTATCTTAACCACAAATTGTTCAGGGCTTTCTCCTTCCTCTGGGAAAGTATCTCTGAATTTGAAGAGAATCTTTCTTTAGGCAGATCTAGGGTTGCAACAGTATGAAATTTCCTTGGTAGGATAACCGTCAGAAAATATCACGGTTTCACAGTGTTATACTGTATAGTATTACACAATTACATGATTTAAAAAAGTATAAAACTATAACATGTTTTAGGACTAAAACCTGTTAGTTTGCATATTAGCACCAGTATCAGAGGAAGTATTCACATCCTTTACTTAAGTACTACTATCACACTGTGAAAGTAGTCTACACTGTTACAAGTCCTGCACTGGAAATGTTAAATAAACCTAATTAATATCATAAAAATGCACTTATAAAGTAGAAGTAGGTTACTCGGTGCAGAAAAAACGTATACTATACATGTATATACTGTTCTATTCTATATTCTACCATTACATTAACAGCCTGTCAGTCATGCATTGATGTAAAAGCTGGACTTGACTGTTGTACTTGGTGGAGGTGGAGCCGGTACTATTTTCTATCCAAGTACAAATAGGCCTTTTGATTATTTTCATTAGGGATTAATCTTCTGACTATTTTCTCCATTAATCGACTGACTGGTTTGTAAAACCTCTGACAACAGTGAGAAATGCCGTCACACCGCTCTAAACGATTATCAAAATAGTTAATTTAGGTAGGTGCACGACAGCGCAGCCAGACTGATTCTGTCTGTACCTTAGCTCACACAGTGATCTCTGTGTGTTTCTCTCTGGGGTCAGAACAGGATCACTGTGAGTCCTTTTGTTAAGTCAGAAATTAGCGAACGAACAGAAAATGTGGAAAAGCATCTCGATAGCCCGTTTTATAACTGATGTTATATGCTCTGGTTTTATTGTGTGGGATCAAAGTTATAAACGTTTTTTGATCTGCATAGAGAAATATTCTCGAAGGTGTTCATTTTTGAGATATCCAAAATAATACCTTTGCCCCTATCTTCAGCATCATGTCTGTTACCTCTCCCTTGTGCAAACTGGGCTGCCTATATTTTCAGTGTTTTCATTTCTTGTTCATGGTTCTTTGCTTTTCAGCTTCTTCCCGGTGACTTCAGTGCTCAGCTTCAAGCTCAGCCTTCCTCGGTGAACTGTTTTCTGCCTCTCGCTGCATCAGGCTGAATGTGTCTTTCATCTCATCTTTCTTCAGCTTGGCATTTTCAACCCACAGTGCTTTGGCTTGCTCTATCAGCCACTCCATCACTAACTATGTAATCCAGCAATAAAATGTCACCTGTGAAACTAACTTTCTAGAAGCTGAAGATTTCTGTTCAACTCAGTTGAATTCTCCACTGTACTAGATTTAGGTCCACTGCAATTTTCCATCCATCCAACCATTATCTATACCGTTTATTCCTGAATAGGCAGGGTGCACCCTGTACAGGTCGCCAGTCTATCACAGTGCAGACATGTAGACAAGACAAACAACCACACACACTCTCACTCACTCCTATGGACAATTTAGAGTCACCAGTCAACGTAAGCAGCATGTCTTTGGACTGTGGAACTCTCTCTGGCCAATGGCCCTGCCCACTGTACCCTGTATAAATTACACTCTGACAGTTCCAGAAAGTTACATAACATCATTACATAACAGTGGAAATTGCCATTAACTTCTAGATCATTCTACATGTACAAATGACCATACCCAGCAATTTCTACAATGCTCTAGGATATTTTACATTCCATAATATACCAGATTTTTTTTATATGAGCAATATATATATATTTTAAGATTAAACCACTGAATAATAATCTCAGCAAAGTCAGCAAACGTGAAAATATATAATATCCAAAATAACAGAAATTATGATTTAACAAAAATGTTACTAAAATGACTATTTACCATTACTCATGTAAATACATTTTTTCACATACTATAATTAACTCTTGCATAGTTGTATATATAACAGCCAATTGCCTTTATCCATCTCTCTGCTTACTACCACTGTTGTCCTGAAAGTGTAGATTGCATCTGGTCACATGGAGTCACCAGCTGCTTACTTTCACCTGCTAGCAAAGACCAAGAAGTTCACACTGTCCTGACACACAGGTACACTGACAAATCCGTCACTTAAATCAGCACCGTATCAATTCCAAGACACAGCCAGCCCCATGTCCCTGCTCTGGTGGCTGAGTGCTTTTACTGCAGACCCCAAACTGTAACAATTGTAACAGGTGGCATTAAATTTAATACCTAAAAAGTGGCACCATATCAATTCCTCCTAATTCATTTTATAATCATTCCATCTGACTTTTTTAATCACAGAGAGCATCATGGCAGAGTAGGAAACACAGACTGTGGTCTCACCTCTTGGTATTTGTTATCACTGGGCCACAGACTGACCACCGCTCCTCTGTCCATCATCTTGACAATGTTCGACATATTGATATAATCTTCCAGTTCTATGACCTTCTCCATCCACTCAATCTTTGTCATACCATGGTCTGAAAATAGCATAATGTTCAGCTGGCCCACCATGTCCTTCTCCTGCAAGAATATCACAAGCCATTGAAAGGAAACTACATGACAGAAAAAGAACAGCAGTTTTAGCTATAGTTTAAATAAAAACAGAAGTGACATTACAAACTTTTATTTTACTGTTGAGTGTCTGCATGGCGAGATCCAGTTTCTGCACAGCTGATCTGATCTGAGGAGAGCCTGGACCATAGTGGTGGCCCTGCACATCTATGTTCTCATAATATATAGCTGCCATGTCTGCTTGGCCAGACCTACACACACACATACAAACTCTATTTTAGGTATCTGGTGCTACAATCAGCACATTCTGTAATAGTTCAGTGTAAAGTCACATTTGCACTGTCATATGAAAATCATGGCTCTAAAACAATGTGTTTGTTAATATTTTGCACTGGCTCTAAAACAATGTGTTTGTTAATATCTTAAACTTCCGCATTCTAGTTCTTATTCTTTCCCTTTCTGAATGGTGAATACAGATACCGCCACCTGCTGGCAGGGGGAGTTATTTCTGTCATCCAGGTGCAGAACGTACATGCGAGTTGGCCATTGGCTGTTGTCTGTGAGTGTGTTCATGTGTTACTTTCATGTGCACAACCCAACTGGCCAAGACAACGCTAACATGAGGTCGGTCTTCGTCTCTGCTAGTTCTTTCAGATCGGCTTGGTGCGTCTCTGCCCTAAGATCATCAGGAAGAAATTGCATTTTTATGTAGCCTGTGAATTTATTTATCTTATTGATTTTCCCCAGAACGTCAGAGGGTGAAAGTGCAACTCAAGCAGCCTGATCAGTTGTAATACATACCAGTAAAAACAGAAAACAATGGCATTTGTGTGGTTGAAACAGCTGTCTGTGGAGGTCATGTGTTACTAAACATATCAGAGGGGAAAAAATAGGCATGAAGTGTAAAAAAAAATGCAAGAGTTCCACGGGAGATGTGTTTCACGCATATCTTAGTGTGGACTGACACACTTGATAGAATGGAATTCTATGTGCAGCGTGAGGCAGGCGTGACACACGCACAGAAAATGCTTCCAAAAAGGTGTTCAGTGTAGATTAGAGGTTAGTTTCATTAAGCTCTGTATAACTTAGTATTAACACGCTGGCACAAAAAGACAGCTGCTTTCTGAGCTCATGTTATTAAATGTATTTATGGCAGCCAGATCTAAACTTGAAAGCTCTTCTCCATGTAATGGCTAAACTTTAGCACAGAAACAAAGGACATGAGAGAGCACATAACAGGCACAAGTCACTGTGTTGGTACCTAAGGACGTTGAGAGCATTCACTATAGAGTCTGTGAAGCTTTTCTCTGATGGGTCGGAGACATATTCTTCACAGAATGACGGAGAGACACCCAATATTTTCACCTCACAGCCTGAAGAGACACACATGAACAAAACCACTGTTTCATTTACAGTCAGATCTAATTATGAACATCCGAGATTATGCACATTTTCAGGTTTATTTTATTATCTGATTTATTATCTAATCTTATTATCTATCTACTTGAAAATGTTTACACCCATGTACATTAATAAAGTTCATTAGCTTCCTCATGGTGCCAGTAGCTCCAGACCCTTTTGTTTCAGCTCCTCCTCCTCACAGATGTTCAAGCGGGAGCCTGGTCTGAAATCAGGAAGAAATATAACCAGCACTGACCTTCAAGAACACACCGGTCCCTGACGTTTTCCTCAGGTAAGTACTGCTATTTATAAGTTGTTGTTATATGACATTGGATTCATATTGATGCATAAACCCTCCAAACCACACACACACACGTAACCCTTTTGCCACCCGGCTCGTTGTAGCAAGGGAGTGACTAGTTAGTATATACCCCTTCAAGCTCAAATAACACAAATTGGCAAAGGGACATTCCAATGTATAACAACTTTGTCTAGGGTTCAGTATGGTTCTCACCTTTAAAACACCAATTAGAGAGACCCCAGAAATGACATTAAATTAAATAACCAGAATATGTACATCCGGTACCTGTAACTTACGGATAATTTTTCCAGAGACTGTTTCACAGTATACAAATGAAAAACACACACCGAATGCAGTTTAACTTTGTGTAGTAACTAAAAGAAACAAAACACAGGTCACAGTTTTATGCAGTTCGAACAACAAATGATATTTCAATGAAATTTCCCTTGTTTCACACACAACTGATAGTTATGTGTCTCAAGTATGTACTGCTGAACACAATGCAGTAGTGCCTGAAACATTCTTACTGTATCAGTACTACAATAAATATTCCTCTGTATAATTTGCTTGTGTTACTGCAGATATATCACTAAAATGTAAACCTCTGCTTTTTATTGCAAAAAAAGGGGGTAACTCAAAAAAAAAGGACCAGCAGTGTACTGGTGATGCCCTGACCTCGAGCCACCAGCACCAGGTGAAGCCAACACTTTGTCACAGTTTATGTTAATAGTTGATTGTTGGGACTGAAACAGCTTGGGGTCGGCGCCTGAGCCTGACAGGAGAGACCTGACCCAATGTGTGGTGTGTTCCCCTCCTAAATGGCTCCCAGACCCTGAGGAGGAAGCTTGTCTAAGAGGGGGTCAGCAGTCCAGTAATGCTATATGTAGTTAAGGGAAAGGAAACAGTGACCTGGCCTTCCTCCCCCATGCTGTGCTCCCCAGAGAAACATATAGACTGACCCGAAATTGCATGCCCCGGCTGCTGGGAACAGGGCGGAGCATCCCCTTATACAACTCCTGGTTTGTTAATGGTGGAGAAAGATGAATGGGAAAATAAGACAATTTGATAGAAAATGGATGAATGTAATAATAAAATAACAATAAAAGAAAAAATTATAAGGACATTTTGATCATATAAATACACTATATACGTTTGCATATACATATTTATGTGTACTCAGATATACATGTATACACTATTCATAAAACAAAAATAAATGAAATTATCAAATCAGTAAATGATTAGAAAGAGAGAGGAAAGAGAAAAAAGAAAGAAAAAGGGGGGAGTAGGTTTTATTCTCTGTTAATCTGGTTGGTATGACATACTCAAAACAGTAGCATGGACAGTGAGGACTAATAACAACAATAACAATAATGAAATAAAAGCAGCTTGTTATATTTCTAGGAGTTTGTGGGAACGTGCGTGGCCTCGGCCCCTGCTATCTGGTTTAAGTTAAAAGTTAAACTTCTTTACTTGACATCGTGTCACTCCAGTGCCTTGGAAAACCACAGGCTCTATATTCTGTATACATTAGTTGAAAAAACCCATCAGAAGAGAACAGTGAAAACCTGGAAGCTGGGGTGCCAGGAAAACACACCCACAAAACAGTAGAAATGTGAGAAAAGAAATACAGTATGTTTAAAAAATCTGTTATTGTATGTGGCTCAAAAACAACATGTGACTGTTATTTTATGGTTAGAGCTATTCATTGCTAAGGTAATCATTGCCATTTAATAAAAAAAAAAGTTAAGTAAAAAAAATAATAATAACGTATTACAAAAATAGAAAGCTCCTTGAAATCGTTGGCAAAGAACAGCAGCACTGTAGAAAAACACAGTGAATGTTAGGTTTACTATCTGTGGTATAGTATTCAGCAAAAGTGCATCACACTGATTAACACAGCTACTATTACTTAACTAAGAAGGTCTAAGCTAAATGAAACTGGTTGTGCACATTGTAGTTGTTGATGCCCACTCTGTGCCCATGCTCCTACCTTGGTCAGAGTTGCTCTGAGCAGTTTCCTGAATCACTTTTAAGAAAGGACTCCTCGCACAAAGGTTTTTAGGCTAAGTTAAAAGCTCCCTGCAAGTCTATCTCAGAATGTTTCAGCTGAGTGATCACATTAACAAAGTGTGTGCTCACCAGGCCAGTAGTACATGAAAACCTTCTTCCCCAGCTTCTGTAGGGTGACCCATAATGGCTCTGATCCATCCCACCATAGAGGCAACCGGCTGTCGGCATTGGCCCCAATCAGAAATTCCTTCTTGGAGGTTTCATCCCACATGAAGTTTCCAGTAAACTGATGAGTGCCACAGTGACGGCCTGACAAAGATCAATAAAAATAAAAAATACCATAAGCTAGGTATCTAAAGCCTGATATATCTTATTTCTCTTTCACAGAACTCCGGTGTTATCCAAAACTATTAAAAACACATCAATGAGCCACAGTGTTGCTTTATTACCATCAACATACATAGAAAACTTCTGTCTTTTTTAAAATGAAACTACAGATTTATAAGGAGTTTTTAAAGATTAACACTTTCAGTAGGAACCAATAGGCTTGACCGTGTAGACACATTTATTTCAAAGGCTTTTTTGAGGGTTAAGACTCGGTTTTAGAATTAAGACTCTAAAGCTCACACCCACTGACCAGGACGGGCTGTTGTTTTTAATGGGCTTAGTATATCAGGGGACTGCAACAAACAGGCAAACATCACACACACAACATGCAGTCACCAAGCATCAAATGCAGTCTCTCCCACCAAAGCATCGAAAAACATCAGAACAAATTCTAATGTGGCATTACTTGGATAAACTGACCACAAGTTCTTAATCTAAGTGGCGACCGTCACCTGAAAAATGTCAAAACATAGCAAAATGGCATAATACCAGTCATACAGATTAAAGTGTTAACAGCTTTGAACCCGGCTCAAAGTCTCAGGCTCGGGCCCAGCTGTCGCTGTGTCTTTAACCAGCAATGTGTGTGCTCAAAGGGCTCAGCAGCACAGCCAGCACACTTTGGCCACACCCACACTTAAACATTTGAAAATAAAATTTAAATGTCTGAGAATTAGCTTAATCATTTTCAGTGTTACAAATCAGTGTCTTCAATGTTTTGAAACGTGCTTTGCAAACATTCACTGCCACCTTTGCAGAGTCAACTCAGTGACACTCCAGTACAAATGCTTCAAGGCCAACGTTTGCTTTTTCATTTACAGATTTTTTGGGGGGGGGTTTTCCCAGTTGTGGTTTTATTTTTAATGCCAAGCTTTATTTTTCAGTGCCAAAGACTAAAGTCATCAATCTGGCGCTATAGGAAAGTGACTAAAATTAAACTGCTGCTGTTTTCACTGCTGTACTGGCCAGTTTGAATTCTAATTTCACACTTTATAGCCCTGTAAGCTGTTATAGAAAGAGCAAAGTGAAAAAGACAAATTCATTTTAATACAATGCAAACTGAAGAGCAGTAAATAGTAGATAAATTACTTATAAATGTTGAGCTTTTGTTGCTGCTTGTCAGCGTGTCCACTCTGTTTCATGATAACTGGTGAGACTAGAGCTACTTTGTGGTTGTGGACAGTCAAATGAAAAGGTGTTTCTCATCAGGTTGTTCTACCACAGGAACGAAATAATCACAGAAGCTGTTTTTGAACTGTGTAAATAACAGATTATATCATCAAAAATATATACAGGTAAATATAATTAATGTTCAGATATTTTAATGTCATCTATTCTTCTAGAAATCATCATAGTTAATTTAACCTCTGTTTACTACATTTTTAACATGTGACCTGGTTCTATGTGAGAGTTAGTCTCCATTTGGGTTTTGGTGCCAGTTTGAGTTAAAAATGCCAGTATTTAAAACATAAACATTCATTCTTGGGACGTTGGAACACACTGCTGAGCCTTCTCTGTGTTGTGGGCCCAAAAACACCCTGTGGACTTGCCTTCACTCCTACACCCACACAGAACTTGTCCTGGTGATTATACTTATTGACTCACTGGGGCTGTTAGCAGTGTATTCTTCTTTAGTTTGACAGCCTTGGTAGATTAGTGTCAGTGGCTGGACAACTGGGTGGCCCCAGCTCTCTTAGGTTACTGCCAATACAAGCCAGTTGGACCTGTCACTGTTTAACCTGAGCAAATATGAAGCAGACGCTCTGTGTCAAGCCACATACTGTATCTTCTCTTTGCTTGGGTGAGGACAGGGTTCAGGGTTGGTTTGTGGAAAATGGTGTTGCTTATTGTGGGGCTCTGAAGATTTATGGCCTAGCACCCCCCTCTTTGGGGCCAAATAATGGGTAAACATCGATTAACTCATACTGAGCTTCCATATGAATTCTCTCCCATTCTTTGGCACATTTGTTTATTATTGACTGTTCACAGTTATTTAGTCATCTCTGTAGTGTCTGCAACGATGGCGTAACACTAAGTTAAACCATCAATGAAGAGCCTGGAGTGTGGTTTGTAGCTTTAATCACTTAAAAGATGGTGAAAACTGCAATACAAATGTGTACTCTTAATACATACCGCAATCACACATGCGAAAAACAAAACACACAGAATTTACGAGCATAGTATCTTAAAACAACAAATAACGTAAACATCTACATCTATAGATATTAATTGATGTATTCACAAACTTAGCGACTAATTGCAGGACATTACAATGTCCGCATCTTGCCCGCGGGCTTCTGTTTACAGCTCAAAACCGGAACCGGAGGAAATTAGCGATAATATATTTATTCCTTATTTAACTAAAACTGTAGAAAAACCATGAAATGTCCGTGCAAACTAACCTATAAACGATTATTTAACCTTTTTAATGCAATATAAACGATGAACTTATTTATTAAAGACAAATGCCTTTGGGGCAGCACAATCTCCTTTTAAGTCAGTTTGCCCCTGTGCATTATGCAAACTGTATTTTAATGTTACATTTTTAGAATAGAGATGCATTCATGTTATTTCTTTGTAAAAAAAAAAAAAAAAAAAAACTATGCCCCAATTTTTTTTTTTTTTTTTTATTTAGGGGCACAAGTGCTTCTAAAAATAAATGGTAGCATAGAGCCCTCACGTATGTATAAAATACATAAAACATAATATATGATTAGCAGTATATTAGTTTTAATACAAAGAATTCATCTGCAAGGCTGTACAAGTAAATACAAGTGAGGTGTCACGTGACCCCAACCCTTTTTGGAGCTTGCAGTGTCTTAACTCTTTAACCTCTGAGCCCCCACCCTGCGCCAAGGGTGGTGGTGAATGTTCGCAAAGCCTGTAACACTGAACATTGTACATTGTAACATTGAACATAATTAGGCAACATTTTCAGATATTAATTTTTGTTTTCAAATGCCTGAGCCATATTTATCAATTTTGAAACCATATTTTCAGTACAGCCTTTTTTCAATCTTAGTTTGTTTCTCCCCTTTAAAACGTGGTCTGAAAGAGCAGATCTGAAACTGAAAAGAGAGTGCAAATATAAAAAAAAAAGAGTTGAATATCCAAAAGAAGTGTGTTGGATGTCTGAAAAACAAGTTTCAAAACTTTCAAAACATTGCTTGGTATTACTGAAAAGAATAAAGCAATTTTTTTCAGACTTTTAAATCTTATTTTCAAATAAATGAAACCCCCGATTTTCTGTTTTAAAACCATATTTTACACATTCAAAATGTATTTCCAACCTAGTTTCATTGTTACAAATTGTGGCATCATATTCACCTCCCACTCGGCGCGCACTCGTCTGACAGCACATAGAGACCAATGTTATGTTTGGTGGACGACTCTGCTTTATAATTACTACAAAACTAAAAAATATATAGATTGTCTGTTTGTCTATCTGTCTGTCTGATAGACAGACAGACATCATTAACCGAGGTTTCATTACCTGTCATTAATGAGTAGTAATTAGGGTATGATAAACTCGGGAAGTCAGGCGTCACGTAGTCCGCCTTCACTCCATTGTCCACAAGCTCACGAAATCCGGGCAGCTTGTCCAGGTCATCCATGTAATCATAGCGGAATCCATCAATGAGGAAAACAAGCAAGGGACGGGCCGCAAGACACCGCAGTCCCGCGCCGGACAGAAGGAACAGCAGCGGAAAGAGGCACAGAGAACGCACGCATGTCTGTCCCGGGGACATAATGCTGTTGTCTGGTAGTGCTGCGCTGTGCATCAGCGCGTTGAAATGAGCAGGCAGCAGTTTGTCGCGCTAAAGATACATGAGCCTACTGCGGTGGGTGGGATTACAGCCTAGGTGGGTGCATGACACGAGTAACGCATTTAACAGAATCAGGTCTGCCTTCACCCCGATAGGGGGTCTGGCTGGAGACCTCATCTGTGGAGTCACTTCCGGTGGAGCCGTCACTGTAGAAGAAGACAGCGGTTCCCGAAGAGACCCCTGTTTGGTCATTGAGTACACTGACGACCCCATCCCCTCAACCACACGCACAAATGGAAAATTAGAGTAGTTCTTTTCAAATTTCTCTTATAGATATTTCAGAATTTATCAAACTTATATAACAATACAGAGCCATTAAACAATGAGTCCCTAGACAGTTAACTTAATACTCGCAGCAAGTTTGTGTATGCCTAGTAATTTTTGTCTTAAAGTTCGAAAAGGTTATTTCATATATATACCGCAATATAGCAGTGGATTTTCCTGAGCCTATATTTAGTCTTGGAGTCAAGTTCTCTCATAAGCCAAAACTGTATGTTCAACGTAGAATTTCTTCAGGGGACAATTTAACTTGATATCCATGAGCGCATCCTCACCCATGCATCTTTTGTGACATATTCATTACCATCTGAAAATATGGATCTCATCTCATTTTTTCAACTGATGATTTCTACAGACCCCTCACACCCTGGACACAAACTGTTTGCACTCCTCCCCTCTGGAAGGTGCTACAGGTCACTGTGTGCCAAAACAACCAGATACAAGGACACTTTCTGTCCCCAGGCCATCACGCTGATGGCCACTTAACCTATGACTGTAAAACAAGACAACAACCCTTAGTGCAATACCTTGAAAACATACCTTTGTGTACATACATACATATA